CTGTACAGTCGTGCTTGTGGACACGTATAGCTACGGTTTTTTGTTCTTAACAAAATGTCAGCACTGCACCTGCCAATTATTTTTATATTATCCAATCATTTAGCAAGATGTCCGGATACCTGATCAAGGTCCTAAACGATTCAGGCTCTTTCTAATAACTGGGTTGACCTCTATATTTCTGGCATCTGTTGATTGCAAGCCACCAAAGATTGGTCCGACAACGCTGGAGTTTAAGCAACAACAACGTCAACGATGGTACAACCCAACAACAACAGCACTCTTGGCCTCAAAAGACAGCCTATTTCATATCTTGAACACAACCGACTTACCTTAATACACTGCACTATCACTGTAATATATAAATAGAACACCAACGATAATACAACTGACTCTTGAAATTTATCGAAATTACAGAGCTCGCGCACAATGTGGGTCATTGCACGTTTTTCTCCACCAAACGTGAGACGATAAGAAAGATCGAGGACCTGAGTAACAGGGAACCCCAACAACCAACCCAACACAAGTGACAGAAAATCAAACCAGGTACACCTCGCACTAGAGACCAGAAAGCGGCGCACGCGTGGGAGGAGATGACAGAACAGCAACAGGAAGTCGTCAGTGCATGGAGATAGAAGGCAAAAGATCGCGCACCAACAGGGACAGGAGGAGGAAAGAGAAAACACAACACGAAAGAAAGAAGAGAACGCAAAGGAGCGAGAGCATCACATAGACAAGGTGCAAGAGGAGAGAGAACGCGAAGCGAGCACAACAAGACGGCATGCAGAGCTCAGACAGTGATGGGGGAATAGGAAAACTTATTTCTAAAACCACTATGAACCAGCGACGGGCCCTCGACGTCTGGTCCACCGTATGGTATGCAAAAACATTTCACCACAATACAAAGTATAATGCATCTGAATAAGAGCAAAAATCACACAAAAGGACATTTTGCAAAACAGTTTATTTAAGAGACAGGGCTAGTCTAAAACAATAAAAATACACCTACTTATATTAAT